CCAAAGAAAGCAGGAATACTAGCACATGTTTTCCCTCAGAAGTAAGCTCTGAAAAACACATTTTAGCCCTGTGAATTAACAGCTGACAATGTAATACCTTGCCACACAAGAGTATTGCGTATTGCCACAATCTGGGCAAAATTAAAATCAGCTTTACTAATTTTAAGAAATCCCAGTATTCCATCTCAACTTGCAATGCCATGAGAAAAGTCCAACAAAGTGACACCTGCATTTATTTATCACCTCTAACAGAACATTAAAGAATGATATATCGAACTCGAGGATGTGCAGATCCCATTTCTCCACAAGAATAAAGTTAATGGAAATGTTACAAACTGGCACTGCATACATAAGAATAGCTAGCAAATGATGAACATATGTGAGTGCTGAAATGTATTATTCAAAGCAGTTTTCTAATTTTTTCCTACTCATTTGCATCCACAAGATATTCAGGCAAAAATTACCTTTTTTTGACAGTCAAATTGCCCCAATATTTGATGATTTTGAAGAGAATTTAAAATTGTTTCAGATAGCACCTTTAACAGTAATTTTTCCACCCAAATATTCCTTATAATGATTTTGAAGAGAATTTAAAATTGTTTCAGATAGCACCTTTAACAGTTAATTTTTCCACCCAAATATTCCTCTGAAGCAACCAGAAACACGTTAAGACTCAGTTACATACAAGGCAAATAAGAATCATGTCTTGCCTTTTAATGTCATCTATCACTTTGCAAGATGAAACCCCTGCCTATGCAGCAACAGCCCTTCCCCATTTGCAGGGACAGAATTTAAAGAAAAATAAACTTAAGTACATACATACATTTAAACAGTCTAACTGTTGCTTTGTCGGTTGAAAAATTACAAGAAAAGCAAAGCCTGTTCTTTTGTTTTACTCTTTGTGCAATTCACTGAGAGAAACAACCTAAAATAAAGAAAAAAATAGTACAAGAGCTGAAAAAAAAGGCAGACTAATGTATCACTAATTAACATCACAGGCAGAACTAATTGTTGCATTAAATGCAGTATTTCTACGACTGCTCATGAGAGAACTGAGCTATACAAGCTCAATTTACTAAATGTAGTAAAATAAAAAAAAAGCTGCCTAGACATCTTAAAGAACAATTCATCCTGTTTTATCTTCATCACAGGCTTTAACTATCCTGTTTCTCAGAAGCAGAAGCCAAGTGACAGAAAGGACTCTGCCAGGAGCCAGTGACACGTTTTGTGACCATGGTGCACCCACACAAACAGGAGTACGAAGGACAGCAGCTCTGCGCAGTGCAGGCAGGCAGGCACACCTCCACTTCTCCCTTTCACAAAGCCACTTATGGCTCTCACTGGCTATTTGCCTTCCTTCCAGCACATGGCAAGACAGTTTTTTTCTTTTCTGGATTTTAGCACTTCTAAGGCATTCAAGGTACATTTTAAAGGACATTCCCAGTATCTAGCATATACCAAATGTCATACTCAACACACACAAGGGTGTTGAGTGCAATTGCTAGACTACCTTTGCAAAGCAAATCTCTGGAACACAAGCGAATTAATTCATACAGAAGGTAGAAATTGAGTTTTTTCTGTAGAAAGAATATAGGCCTTGGCTATTGTAAAAAGCAAAGTTCCACTGTGTAAAACTGTAGAGAATTGAGCCTTTCCATTTCTAAACTGCAGGACCAGAGAGCAACTACCTACAGTTTGCCATGCACACAAGTTCCCCCAGCTGAAAATTCAGTCCCACAGGACAGGGAACTGGGAAGGACTGATCTGTTCTCTTGCACAGTTTTGCACATTGCTTCTTTAGAGATGAATGGAGAATGCTGTGAAAATGCATAACATCATTTGGGGACCAGAACTACTCCCTCTGGGAATTAATGACCTCCAGCTGACCAAATAATTCTGTTATTGTTTGTTATAGATATTTATGGCTCTGGCTATTATAAATGCCTCAATTAAGTATTCTCTGCACCTTCAGCCTAAATGCTGAAAACAACTGGAAGTCAGTGATCCTTGCTTCACTTCTCTCTCCAAAGAACTAAAACTTACAAAGCAAGGATAGTGTATAGATGTGTTCTTGTAAATTACAGGAGCGTATCCTCCTGCCATGTATCACCGAGTTCACTATTAACACATTTACAGGAATCTCAAATTTCTATACAGCACAAAGCACATGGAAAATTTTCTCATTACTGCAGCTGACAGATCTCTACCAGCCTCAGTGGTTCAGCTGAATTAGTGAATAAAATCACGCCAAGTGAAGAGACCCCTTCTGTATCCTGGCATCAGCCTTCGCCCCCTCAATTCTGACAGAAATGAACCCATCATATGTAGATACACCATCATATGTCAAAACTTTGGTCAGAATCTGTGAAACCAGAAGCCTGTGTTATAAAACAACACCAACAACAGTTCACTGTTTCCATATAGGAAAACTGTACTCCAGAGGAGAGAAGTTATACCCTAGAATAAAGGGAATACTGCAAAGAGAAGAGCAAGACTGAAACAGAACAGCAGGAGTGAAGACATGACTAAGAGGCAGGCAATATAAATCCCTCACCTACTAGAAACAAGCCTGTCTCTGCTGCTACCTCCTGAACCACTAACAGCAGCAACAAGCACAATACATTCAGGCATTTGGATCCAAAAGCTAGACATGTAATTCCCACCCCAGGGGCACAGGAAAGCAGAACTCTGCCTCGACAGAGCCAAGTGAGAAGTGGCACAGCGCAGCTACACCCAAATGGCTTTCTCAAGAGATGCCACCCCCACAAACACCTCCACTACCCCAGCTCCAGCCCAGCCGAGGATCCAGCTGGACATCGAGCACGTGCCATCACAGAATGAGCCCTGCCAGAAAGCAGACTTGTCAAAGCCGTTTTATTGCCCATCCCAGTCATATGACAGATTAAAAGCATAATTACAGATAATAAACTACTGTGCAAACTAAAGCATGCCTTACAGAGATTGTAAACTGCTCATCAGACTGGGACTGGCATCAAAATAAGGAAGGGAAAATAGAAACCTTAATACAAAATCTGTACAAAACAAATGTGTTCCTCAGACAGCAAAAGCACAAAAGAGTTTATGTTCATGTTTATGCATCATTGAGCTGTTATATGAGACATTTCAAACATGCATGATGCTGGGGGAGAAACAGGAAACACATTACACAACACACATTTCAATAGTCCCAAGTTAACTTCTCTGCTTAATCTAGTACTTCTGGCCACAATCACAGAAGTCTGTTATGTCAGCTCAAAAAAACCACCTAACACAGACAAAACGCAGTTCCACCTTTTACTTCTAAAAAGTGAACCCGATGGTAGTAAAAACGAAATATCTGAATAAAAAAACCCAGAACATAGAGCAGTAATTTAAGATATATTAATTTCCCACTCTTTACTTACCTTCGGTATTTAGTTGCATCTCCTCCCACTTCTTCCCTATCCACAAAATAATAAGACAGTTTTCAAGATTTATTTTCTATTTTCACAGCTTTGCTACATTTTTTTTTTAATCCATGTAAGAAACAGAAGAGAACAAATACGCTTCGTGAAGTCATTTCACTTCCCTAGGTGATTAAGAACCAGGGCTGGAGGACTTCAGTTTACAGTTCTCTCAGATACTTTAGTAAAGAATAGATCCAAAAACCTAACCGCAGGAAGAGCATCTTACCAATAAATCCAGATTTATCAACAGGATTTAAACCAAGATAAACTTTGATACTCGATTTTGGTCACTACAATCGACAATATTCGAGTTTCGTTGCTGGTTTTGGTTGTGGGGTTGGTTTGGGGTTTCTTTCCCACTTCCTGTAAGACAGTTCTGACTTTCCGTAACAAAACACTTCCAGCGCTGCCCGCCGGAGCTGCCCGGGCACACCGAAGGCACGGAGCGCAGGCACCTTGCCTGGGCTGGGGGAACGACAGAGGTTACCGCGCACCTGTCAGCGCGGACAGCCCCAAAACTCCTCCCGGAGAAGGCGGGCAGGGCACGGGCCCCGGCCCGGCCACTGTCAGCGCTCTCGGGGGTTTGTTCCACTCAGGCGCAACAGGAGAGCTCCGGACCCGCGGGTTGCGCTGCCCCAGCGCGCCGCGCCCGCCCGCCCGCCTTCTTTGTTCGCGCCGAGCGGCTCCGGCAGCCGCGGAGAGCTCTCCGGGGGGCCGGCCCGGCCGCGGCTCCGGCGGGACCGACAGCGGCCACGGCCGGGAGGACACACGACCCCCGGCGGGAGGGGAGCGGCGAGTCGCGGCTCCACCTCGGCGGGGAGAGGCGGCCCCGCGGCGTGGGAAGGGACGGGCGGGACCGGCTCCCCGCGCCCCGAGCGGGGCGGAACGGCAACAGGGCCGGCCGCGTCTGAGCACTCCTTCCTCGGGTGGAGGGCGCCGCGCGGGCACCGGGATGCGGTGTGTCTGTCCCTCCCCCCGCCCGTACCTGCTGTGAGGCCGCGGGAGCGCAGCGGGAGGCGGGGCCGGCGGGACGGGCGCGACAGCGGCGACGGCGATAACGACACCGAGAGCGGCGGCAGCGCCTCCTCCGCGCCGCCCGCGCAGCGCCGCCGCCCCCGCGCGCCCCCTGCTGCCGGGAGGCCGCGGGCACAGCCCGGGGGCGGCCTGAGCCGAGCGCGAGCGGCGCGGGCTTCCGATTGGCTCGCCACGATTGTTTTGGGAACCAGTACTTCTGATTGGGGGCGGCTGGGAAGCTCTTGGCTGCTGATTGGTTGGCTGCCTGCGGCCCCGCCCCCGCGCTCTTTCCCTTCAGCGGGCCGGAGCCCGCCCCAGCCGGTTTGTGGCCCTGTTCGGGCGGTGCCGTGTGGCCGATCGTGGAGACACCGGTACGACCGAGCCCGGGGCCGCCACTACCCGGAGCTGCTACGCCCCTTTAAGGCTCCGGTTGGTTGTCCCGGAAGCCGCCTGACGTGAGCAGCTCACGGGATTCCTTCCGCCCAGTGACGTAACTCCTGGCCGAGAGAGCGCTGCGCGTGCGCGTCGCGCCGTGCGCGCGCCCGCCCCTGTGCCCTGAGGGTGGTGAGGCGGTGGGTTCGCGCTCCGCGTGAGTCCCGGGGCTTGCTGTGACCTGGGGTTTCTCACAGCGGAACGCACGAAATGAAAATGCCTTTGCCCGATAAAAGCCCCTGAGTGAGCACGAGGCCCAAGGGGCGCTGTGGTGTCGTTCCTTTAAGCCGTGGCCAGCGTGACCAGCGGCAGGTGCAGGCGGGGACATCTTCCCTGGGCCGGGCAGGTGGCACGCACCCCCTGCCCACGGCACGACCGGATTGGAGCTGTCTTCAGTGCTTTCCCAAACGAGAGGAATTGGGTTTCCCCCTCTCTGTGGACATAAGTGTTCTGATAGTATCATGAGGAACATTGTAAAGGGTCTGGAGAGGAAGTTATTTGAGGGGTACCTGAGGTCACTTGCCTTGCTCAGCCTGGAGGAGACTGAAGGCAGACATTATTGTGATCTTGGAGCTTCTTCATGAGGGCCAGTGGAGGGGCAGACACTGATCTCTGCTGTGGTGACCAGTGGTGGCACTCAAGGGAATGGCTGAAGTTGTGTCAGGGGAACTTTAGGTTGGCTATAAGGAAAAGACTCTCCCCCGGAGGGCAGGTGGGCACTGAAGAGACTCCCCAAGGAAGTGATCACAGCACCAAGCCTGACAGAGCTCAAGGAATGTTTGGACAGGGCTCTCAGTCCCATGGTGGGATTCTTGGATCTGTCCTGTGTAGGACCAGGAGCTGAGCTCAGTGATTTTTGTGGGTTCTTCACAACTAAGGATTTTCTGATTCTGTTTCGTTTTTTTCAGCAACATTAGTGATGGCAATGTCAGTAGTGAAGTTGACCAGTCTTGAACAGATGCCCCCACAAATACTGTGGTAACTGATGTGGCCTGTATGGCAGGACTCCATAAAGAAATCTTTAGAAGTTCTAACCAGTATAGTATGAAGATTAAACTGACACTAATCGAGACAGGAAGGAATGCAGCCAATTAGGAGTTTATTGGGTGAAGTTATGCTGATGGAAAGTTTGTTGACCTTGTGAGGCCTAAAACATTAATTATTAATAAATTGATGTATTAAACATTATTCCAGTCTAATTACCCTAGAGAGACTGTGTCTGAATTGTTGAAGCTTTGCCTTGAGGCTTTTCTCAGCTCCAAAGCATGAATTACCTCCTGCTGATTTTAGCCCAGTGATTCTTGAGACTGTGACAATTCAATCACAGCAGTCAAGTATTAAATAGTAGTGCTTGAGTGTATAGTATGGCATTTAACGGATCCCTAAGAGTCATGGTGAAATCGGGCCTTTGCTTACTGCAGGATCTAAAGGGACATGAGAGAAACAGAAAAAAAGATCATGCATAGAAGAAACAGTTATATCCATGGATCATAAACCATAAAAATGGTAAGAAGGCTTATCCAATTCCAAATAACAATTGTGTAAACACTAAGCAGCTTAAGAAAGCAAGCAGTATGATCATTCTCATCCAGAACAACAAACCACTGCTGAGGTAAAACCTTTTGGCTGGTAGTAACACAATGAAAATCTTAGCTGTTAATCCTTTTGATTTATAGGTATTACATAAATCATACTGCTGATTTTTCCAAGCCTGCTGTTAGGATTTGCTGCATACTATTCACCTGGAGAGAATGGCCTGTTGGGAATTCCTGACTACTTTGGGAATATTTCAGATGTAATACAGACTGCAAATGTGGGAGCTTGAAAATCACATCAGATAAAGTTAAATTACTAAAATGTCTATATAAATATGCTGCCTGTCAAACTGTTAGAAAATAAAATAAATTTTGGGTTAGAATTAGGAGGTTATTGAACAAGTTCCTGACTTTAAAAGTTGCATTCCCATAAAATCTGGAATAAATTTATGAAAAAAAGCAAGCAAAGGGACTTCTCTTGACCTCTAAACAAACTTTTGGAGAGGAGACAAAACCAGTCTGACTTTTTATAATTCAAGTATTATAAACTGTTTGGGAACCCATATTTATTATGTGCTCTCTGATCAAGGGGATTACATGGGTGTGAATGATAGTTCCAGATGAGTGGAAGACAAGTACGTTTTTCCAGTGTATTCCTTAATCTGCAGCATCGGAAGTCCTTATCATGCAGCACTTTCTGACTTGAGGATTACAGTTCACTTGAATTTCTGATGTGAATAATATTTATGTGTGGAGATAATTTCAGGAATGTACTCCCTTCAAAACACTTTTGATTTTGCTGTTTCAACTTTTTTTTTCAATATGAATCAAGTTCTTGATCTTTCCCAGGCTCAGAATTACATACTAAATATATGGATGGTGCCATTGCTCTCTTTCCTCAAACAGTAGTCATGGAATATATGGTTACTCCAGCTCTGCATGTGTCATGGGGAGGAAAAAAATAATCTCCTTGAATAATTAAACCAACAAATTTCCATTTTTTTCCTTTAAGCATCTCTAAAAATAGTCAGTTGTGATTAGATATGAATTTATGTTATAACTACTACCCAAGGAAATATTCCACAACAAAGGATGTATACAGTCTATAAATTTCACCAAGACAGAGCTTTATACAAAGTGAGAGTATGAAAAGGAGAGCCCCTTTGGCAAAGTCATACTTGGGAGTATTGACCTGAATTAACCACACTGAAATACTTAAACCATATTAGAACTTAATGAGAAGAGAAACCTGCAAAATTAAACTGAACTAAGTTAGAGCATGCACAATTCTCTTCCAAAGGTGACTTAACCAAAATACTGCTGTTTAGTTTAGGTAATCATGTGTATATTAAATATAGTCTAGTGTAATCCATTCTAAAAGTCAATTTGCAGTGGCTGTTGTTCATTTTGCTGCCACCACTTGACACAGCTCTTTGCTTAGGATGCCCAGAGGTGAGTGAGCATTTCTCTGGCCAGAACAGGAAGATCTATGGACATTCTTGTATGTGGAGGAGGACTCTCACTAAAGGTATTGCCAGTATTAGGTTTTGTGTCTGCTTTTTTTGTTGGTAGTGATGTGTTCTTAATATAAACATATTACTACTTTTATATTTTAAGTGATAAAAAGTAGAGTATTGCATGCAAGTTATGGTCGTTGTGGTATTTTATTTGTTCTCTCATATTTTATTTGTGGTTTTATTTGTTCTCTCATGTGCGTACCATGCTTTTGAAAACCCTGACCCACTGCATCACTGAAACAGCAACAGCTTTTTCAAGTGCTAATGAAATTACACATTATCATTTGCAGCATTTACCAGTCAAATTTTGGGTTTGAGCCATGAAAATAGGATGGCTTTTACTTTAGCAGAAACTACATCAGTCTATGTTTTTTTTAAATCCATGCAAGAAAAAATATCCTATAGCAGACAACACTTACCTGTGTATGAATGAAGAGCTTTTGGTGTTTGGGTTTTTTTTACTTTTCTGTTTATTCTTTCCTAAACATCTATATATTATAACTCGGTTACCCTCAGACTTGAGCTAAACAGTTTATCAGTATCTTCCAACTACACAAATGGGATGCTGCAAAGCTGTGTTTGTGACTTGTCAGTCTAACAACTATTGAAGTTCAGTTCCTTTTACATACCATTCTTGCCCTGGCAGAGACGTGATTTCTGCTGTGGCTGGGAGATTGACCCTGGTGGAGGGGGAGCAGAGTATTTGAAAACAGCCACAGCACAAGTTAAACTGTAACTTTTGTGGTATGAGCCCGAGGTTTAGTTTCCTTGGGAAACTCTTTAGCATTTAAAAAATTAAATTTAGATCTCTTGCATGTTAAAATTTTGTTGAAATTGGTGGAAGGTAGTGAAACACCTGTAGATCTTTTACCAGAGATAATACCTTGGATTGATTTCAATGTCTCAGTGTAGTCTGCGGCAAAAATTAACCCCGGTAAAGAGCCACTCCGTTACCGCCTCGCCTGGATTGTCACCGATGCGGGGGAATTTCGCTGCCACGGGCCGGCAGGGGGAGCGAGTCCCTCCCGGGCCGTCTGACCCGGCCCACGGCAGGTGAGGAACACGGTTCCTCTGCGCTGGAAGGCGCAACGTAAAAAAGATGGATTGAATAAAAAAAAAAAAAAAATTAAAAAAAAAAAAAAGCCGCTTCAGTGCAGACTTTGAGCACACAGAGGGCAGACTGTGGCAGACTTAAGCGGGCTAAGCTGCAATGTGAATGCCAGCCGCCATCAGGAGCATTAGCTTCAGGCCTCAGGACAGCTGGGAGGAGAGTCATGAGTAAAACACGTTGCATTGTGACAAAGTCATGGATGACTGCTCTAATGAAGATGCGAGCAGAAAAAACACAAAACCTTTTTTTAAATGGGTGACTGGTTAGAGATCTTCTGTTAGCCAGAAATAAAACAAAAAGGGTGTGGGGTACTGCCAGTCTCTGTGTTCAAACCTTCTCTAAAGGGTGGTAACAATTAAAATGGGCAGGTGGGAGATCGATCCAGCTTTTTTTCTCCAGCTAGCTTTACTCTCTGAGGTATCTAAGGTACTCAAACCTCTCAGTGTGTTTGGCAACAAATCAAACTGCACCACTCACTTTGGCGGGGGGAGGATAAGAGACAGAATCGTTTGGCTGTGGGTGCTGTTACAGATTAGACTGTCTCCTGATGGTGACATGCACACTTGGACAGGAGGAGGGGCAAAACTGGAGCCATTCCTGAAAATGTCTCTACAGCAAATACCCAAAACATCTCTTCCAGCATGCTGTTCTAAAAATGCAGTAGTTAATATTTTAATTGTTACAATCAAGGTGCCTAGCTAAAACAGACTTCCTAAGCATTAGTTGTCCAAAGTAGGTAAAAATTTGCAAATAAAGCTTTTTGCTGGACTATGAAATTCAAGATTTGTTTGCCGAGCCACACACAGAAAGAACTTTGAAAATGTGGTTTAAAAATGAAGTAAAAAATTCTGTATTAATTTAAACAAGGAATAGTAAAGAGTAAATAAATTTGAGAGGCTGATACAAATAAAAGTTCTGTTCTGCAGGCTCTTAGTAGATTAAATTCAGTTTTCTACCTTATTGAGCCTTGACACTGCATACTCTGAAGATCTGTAAATCTTTTAAGGTGCTTTACTATTTGCTTAAGAGAGTCATACATTTGCAAAATTTCTTACAATTGGAGAAATGTATCTGTGTGGACAAAAAGGCTGTATTTCAATAGGAATCATATATACTTTGCTTCAATTCTTGATTTAAACATAACTTATTTATCCCAGCTGTTACAGGTAATGAGCAGTCAGAAGTTCAGGTAGTTCTGTGAGCAGTTCTCTCTCCATGTCCAGTAAGATAAGGATCCTTTCTGAAAGTGCAGGATAAGCACATAATGTTTTTAGTTTGTCAATTCTTCTTTCAGAGACACTTCTCATTTTGTTAATATTATGTTAGTTTTTCAGTTTCTCTAAAAAAAAAAAAACCTAGAACTTTTCCTACCCTTTAAAAAGAATCCTTTTTTCCTTGTTATTTATTATAGTGAGGAATGATTAAATGTAACAATCTATGTCCTACGTTATTTGATTATTTTGTTCTAATCCATTTTCTCCGAAGTGCTGTCTTATTTGTATGTAATAAACAGGCTTTGGAGATTAAGGTGAGGAAAATTACACCTATTTTCTGACCTGTTTGCTAATATAATATTTACCTCACTGTTGTAACTAGCTAACCCATTATCATGAGCTTCAGCTGTTTACATCACGTCTCAGTTTTATCATTTGCTTTTCTGTAACTGTGGCTGCACTGACTAATTTAGCAATATAAGGTGTGTCTGATTACTTCCTTTGGAAGACAGAGGCTGTCACTGCGTCCACTGCTAGCACTATGCTAGCACTGCTAGTTTTTCCTATGAAACTCAGGAAGTGTTTTATTCAATGCATAATGCTCATTGCAGCCGTATTTTAGAGCTATGTTTTAGTTACCTTCAATGTCTTGATTTTTCACCTGACCTTGTCCACATTGCTTTGTTTTCTATTTAGAGGTTAACTACAACAGGTCTTTAATGCTAGAGAACTCTGCTATAACTGGAATGATGGAATAGGGGTAAAGTGAATTGATCTCTTTTCTATCACAGGTTATATATAAGGTTTAAATGTGCCCATAAAGAAGATGGGGGAGGAGGAAACAATGGTTTGTTGTCTAATTCAGTTAAAGAATTGTGCTTTGCCAAGTAACACAGCAGCACTGGGGAATACCTCTCTCCACAGGGAGTTTCCTGCCAGAATAAACCTTTCTTTGGTTTTTAGCTTTGCCAAGATCTAGAAGATCTCAATCTCTTGTAATGTCAAAGGAAAATTAGTGTTCCTTTTAGGAGTGTATATTTAGTACAAGCTGTCCAAGAGCGACCAGAGAGGAAGGTGGGTGCTGGTGCTGCTGGTTTTGCACGTGCTCATGCCTGTGTGCAAGCAGACTCATCCAAATGAAGCCCTTTCATAAAGCAAATGTTGTGTAGCTGTTGAATGCTGAGCCTCAATGCACATTTCAGGGGTTAACTTTGGAATAGCTTTAGTCTGAACACACAGATTGAATGTCATGGTTGGAGGACACCTTCCTGTCTTATTCCCTAAAGGAGTCCCATGCTCTGAGACAGCTCTATCAAATGAACCAAAGCCCGGTGCATGAGGACAATCAGTTTGGCTCAGTTTTGAGCCACAATGAAGTGCTAAATCACACACTTGGTGAGATAGATTGCTCTGAGCATGAATGATCTCTCCAAAGCAAGTTTTGCAGGAGACTGCTAAGGGTTGTTTATAATCCTCTCGAAGCTGGCAAACAGATTATCCTTTTTGTAGGTGAGCTAAGTAGGTTAAACATCTTCAAAGCCTCTAAACTGTTTCTCTCGTATCCTGAAAGCTATTAACACATCAGCACTGAGTCTGCTTCCCTGCAGTCTTAGGTCAAAGAGGTTAAATGTTACACCTCTCTTCCTTGCTTAACCATATCCATGTGGCTGAAACAGAAATTCCCAATGATCATATTGGCTCTTATGAATTCTCAACTCTCTCCATGTACTATGGAGGAAGCTCAGGCCTTCTATAGAGAATGCCACCATGATGCTCAGTTATAGACCAATACCCTAATTCCTGCAAACAGGATAAGCATTTATTCATCAGCTTATCTTAACTGTCATACTTACTCCAAAAGGTCAAGGAGTCATCCAAATGGCAAAGTATCTTCAAGCTGTCTGTGTATAAAAACATACTTAAGGAATTCTTCATCTTCACCTCTGACACTTTTTGCAAGCAATTGGAGTTTGAAGTCCCTAACAGTAATATTTGCTTTTTGTTTTCTCATGTTGCAGAAAATACTGAAAAAAAAAAAGAAAAATAATGTCTCCTGAATTGTAGTGAAACAAAAGCCATGCTACAAAACTAACAATTTTATATATACACTGAATAATTCTAAATTTAAATAAAACTTTAAATAAGGAGTGGCCAGACTTGACCAGGGTCTTTCAAAGAAAATACCTCTGCAGAAACACAAGAAGAATGAAGTTAGTTGACACATTCAATGTACATACTTCTGGTTTTATATTGCTGAGCATCAAACTGATAAGAGCTTTCTTTGTTTTCTTTACAATTGTTACCAAAATACAGGATCCAAAATACATCTTCAGAGGGCAGGGGCAAAAAGAGTCCTCCCACCCTCCTAAAACACTCACACCTCTCCAGATTAAACTTTGTAGAATTCACCTTTCATTCCTTCCTGGCAATCTTCATTTCAATTCTTGACTCTTCTTGGGCAAGTAAGTGTTTTAAAATACAAAAAGGGTAAAGAGTATTTTATTTGTTGTTTCTCCAGCTAGAATGATTAGCATTTTAAGGAAATCATACAAGTAGAACAGGAAGACATGAGAATTCTTGGAATGCATCCCTAAAGCAACCTGTGCAAGTGGAGTGTGTCCCTGGGCCTGTGACAGAGATAATCTTTATTATCTGGAACAAGATAATCTTTAAGGTTCCTTCCAAC